AGGATTTTCCCACCCACTATTCTTTTCTATTCATCATCATATGTGTCCCAAAGCGGATCCCTGAATCAGACAAAGACCCCATGACATCTCTGTGACTCAGCTAAGTAAAAAGATTGTTCCATGATAGGAAACTACAGCATTTAAGAATCATCTTTGTATTCACATATTTTATATCACATTGACGTTTGACTTCCTCCAATAGATACTTTTTGTCTATGCTTTCTCTAGCAATGCCAATAACTGTGTGACCCAGCAAACTCTCATACAAACACTTCAAACTGCCATATTTCAAAGAAACTTGAGTCATATAAATAATGACAAATTCACCCCAACCAAAGTGTTGTTTTCTAAAAGGACAGGCCTAATTTTTGTATAGTTTCTCCTCCGACCCCTTCTGTGGTAGTCAAAGCTACATGCGTAAATCCAGACTGTATGTTATGCTTGTATTTACATCACTTCGAAAATATAAATGTCATGATTGACCAATTATCAAGTATTCCCCCCTGAGTATTTTCATGATTATTACTCTTTAGTAACCTGGGGAAAATATTGAACTATGGAAAACCCCTTTAAATTGTTCCTGAAAATATATATTTTACCTAAATGATCACATTTTAGTGTGGGGACCAATTCTCACTATTAACTAACTATTAACTTTGACTTTTGCCTCAGTAAACTCATAATTTTCTGCTAATTAATAGTCAGTAAGGTAGCTGTTGGTCATGCAGAATAAGGCATTAATATGTGATTTATAAGTACTAATAAACAGCCAACATAGTAATGGATATAGTCATTATAATAGATCAGTTTGTTTTTTGCTAACACATTTGTCAACCTTAATGGCCTTTCACATTGGTTGGTCCTTTCCTATACTAAAACATTGACTGTTTCATTTGGCCTGTTTAGTACCCTGCTCCATTTACACTAATAAACAAACAGGTGACTGCAGACTCCCTGGAGGCATCATAAATCATTGCAGCATAGCATGACACATAAACTCACCATGAGGAACATGATTCAAACCACAGCACCACAATAACCAAACAGAAAGTCTGCCTACAGCTACAAGCGTACGTCTGCAGATTTGACAACAAGAGAAGATTGTTCAATAAATCTCAAAAAGCTTTATCAGCTGGTGCTTTAAAAGTAATTTAACTATACTTTTTATTATTTCACCATACTGTACAGTATCTGTTATGATACAGATTATGATGGTATTCAATAGCAGCATATACATTTAATTTTAAGCATATAATAAAAATCAGTATTTATTATGATTTTAAGAAACACAGAAGTATATGGAAATGTTACATTACACTGTATTTGCCAAAGAGCAGAAATGTATGTATACTTGACCCTTGTCTTATCTTATAAAAGTTCTAGTTTGTTGTGTTAATACCACAGAAATCTGAGACGTGAGACAGAAATGTGAGCAAACTGAATTCTTTTGTATAGACTTTAGCACAGTGATGGGCAAACTTGGCCCTTCCAGGCCACTTTCCTGCAGAGATTTGATCCAACCCTGATATGACTCACCTGCCTGTAGCCTTCTAGTAGTCTTGAAGACAACTTGCCCCTCGCCACTTTCCTGCAGAGATTTGATCCAACCCTGATATGACTCACCTGCCTGTAGCCTTCTAGTAGTCTTGAAGACAATGATTAGCTGGTTCAGGTGTGTTTGATTAGGGTTGGAGCTAACCTCTGAAGGAAAGTGGCCTGGAAGGGCCAAGTTTGCCCACCCCTGCTTTAGCAGAAATTAACACGATTTCTGTTTTTAGGGAATATGCATTTTAGTATTAAGTCTGTTTTTCTTTGTTATGATGATATTTTGAAGCAAAACTGGGAATAATGTAACTTTGTAAATCCATCCTCTGTTCTCATTTTTTTACCATCTGTTCCTTCTGTTAGCTCAGAGATTGGACCCCTGCAGAACTAGTGCTGTCCTCTAATATGAGAAGGAACGCAGCTGAGACAGTGTTTCTCACGTCAGAGCTGTTAGGAATGAGGTAGGAGAAGCCAAGACTATTCCCAGAGGCAATGTACACCATCATTCCCTGCAGATACATAGCGGAAACCCTTCATAAAAGATTTTAGATGGAGCTCTCGCCAAAAAAAAAAATAAAAAAATAAAAATCAACATTATGTGCTGCGCAGAATTATTGTTGTTCAATGAGAAGGTCAAATTCGCAGATATGCTAGAACTGCCCAAAACTTGACTGTGGGCCATGGGTCATAAAGTAAATGTTGTGTGATATCCAACTTTATTTGATTAAAATTTACATTAGATTTTTTTTAATTCACTTATAATCCCTCTACATTTCAATGCCATTATATAAAGTGTTAAAACAAAATGATACCTTTTCCCTATTTTCCCCTTCTCTTGTGAAATGGCATGGCAAATTAATAATCATTGACCAGTTTTAGGGATCTCTGGTCTATGGTTTTGGGTCACACTTTAGTAAGACAGATGCTTATTCCTTTTATTGTTCCATTTATACTTTCGCACAATTAGTGCAAAGTCCTGAAAACAGTTTTCCATCGGAACTTGTATAGATAAAAAGAAATCCCATAAACTGTATAATTGTGCTTACATGGGGTGATAAGTGTTACATAATAACTATCCTGGCAATGAATACATAAATGATGGAAATTGAGTGTTTGGTTGTATATTGCTTAATGTAAGATTTTCTGAAATCCCACCTTTGTGCATTCAAAGCACTGCTTTGTATTTTGTACAGATGATTTTGTGTCTCAGATTTATAGATATTCTCATTTTATAAGCAACATTTTTTATGCAGAGGTTTTCTTTTAAATATATTTGGGCTGTTTGAGCTCATAAATGTGAAAAATTGGTGAAATGCTCCATGAGCACCGCTGGTTAAATTAACAATGTCAGCATCTCTCTCTCTCTCTTAAACAGCATCCTGAACCGAGGACAAAAACAGTTCAGGAAGACAAACAAGTCTAAGGACAATTGAAGTTGTTTACCTCAGTGGAGATGGAAGGACGGTGGATGAGGAGATGGGAAAAGGACATATCCGTCACAGGCCGAGTTATCAGTCAGACTCAAAGGATCGGAAAGCAGAGGCTTTCAGGATGTCCTTTTGTAAACAGTCAAGCTCATCAGAGCCACTATACATCAGTGAAAGCTGTAAACCTATTTTATATCAACGTAAATCAAACCTTAACATGGAATGGGAAGCATACTGCCTGATTCATCTTATATGGTAAACGTGTTAAAGCTCTGCTTAAATGATTTAAACATGAACGTGAAAGCATCAGTAGGCTACACCCTGCAGATCAAGGAAAACCTAACCTTTCGTTCACTTCACTGTCGGTCTAAAGATTTATTCATTCACATCATCAAAACATCAAAAACATCAATTTTCTCAATGACAAATGAACAATGAAATGTTTATGTGAAATGTCAAGCTACTTGCAGAACACCTGTGGTGAATTATAAACTACCTGCCTTTTGTTCCATGAATGATGTATGTGTTTTGTGATGTATTAACAAGCTAGCAAAGTAATTGACAACGTTTTGTTTTTACATTATTTTTACATTATTACATTATTTAAATTATTTTTGGTTTCGAAATTATGAAACATTTCAGAAATTAGACCTTTATCTGCCAGGTAGACTCAAACACACAATTAATGAATTCAGTAACAGAAGCTCCCAACACAGTAAAACGCCCCATTCACACGGGGCGTCAGCATTAACGCTTGACGGAGGGCGTTTCTGAAGCTTGGTTCTGACGCGACCGTCATAGTGACAACAGCCAATCACATTAGTCTTCTAGTGTTGCATGAACGCGATTGGCTAGCGTCTGCGCTAGGGTATTTGCATACGGTCATCTGATTGGCTGACCCCTGCGTTGGCGCTTGAAAAGTAGAAAAGTTTTCAACTTCTGCCGCGAGCAACGGACCCAACGCGACGCGACGGACCCACAATTCATTTCGCCAACGCTTGACGTCACTCCATTCAAAGTAAACGAGAAGCATTGACGTTGACGCTGACGCCCCGTGTGAATGGGGCATTAGGTCAGTAGCGTTACAGGGGTCAGTGGCTTCCCCCCACTTTTCAGGGGGGAAAAATAAGACATATCATCAATGTCAATGATTGGGTATTTTAGGTTCAGATATGAGACGGTTTTCTTTTTTTTTTCTTTTCAAATCGCGCCACCTCTTGGCCATAATGAGATGACGCAGGACTTTTGTTTTGAAAGGCGTGTGTGAATAGCGGAAGTGTGCAGGGGTTCCGGCTCACACAGGAATCAATGGAAATGAGAGAGCAGATAAGTTAGCAAAAAGGCAACCAAAAAAAAAAGGATATCGAGATTGAAGTCCCATTAGGAAGAGGAGAAATTAAATCAATTATTAAATCAAATATTCAAAAAGAGTGGCAGAAGAAGTGGGACATAGCTGATCCAGGAAGGTTTTATTAGAAAATTAATTCATTCGTTAAAGAAGTATACAATTTTGGAAGATGTAGGAAAGATGAGGTGATTTTAAATAGATTACAATTTGGGCACACACAGGACTAAATGCATGACTATACAAAATAGGTAAACATATTACAGGTAAATGTGCTTTTTGTGGGGTAATAGAAACCGTTGAACATGTAATATTAAAATGTCGGAAATATAATATAGAGAGAATTAAAATGATAAAGAACTTAAATGGTAATAATAAAGAAAAAAAGAAGATAAATTGGATATTAGGAAAAGGATTAAGAGAAGGTAGTAATCAAAGAATAGTAATGGAATATATAGTAGAAACAGGATTAAATAAACGAATTTGATAGTTAAATAAATAAATAAATAAATAAATAAAGCAAAGGAATAGGGGAACACACAAGCTGGGTTTTTTAGCATGGGAGCTGAACACGCAGCAGCCAGAAATACAGCTTGGGGGAGCCCGAAATAAAATTAACAATTAAAAAAGAAAGAAAGAAAGAAAGAAATAAATAAAATATGAATAGAGGCGGGACTATCATCCATGTATGATTAGAAACAGTTGGTGGCGGTATGTGCCTATGGTGCGGAATACGCCAAAAATTCCTAAGAAGAAGAAGAAGAAGACGGAAGTGTGCAGCAGACTAGAGGCAGAAAGCGGCAGCATGGTGTACACGGCGAAAGTCGGACCGTCTATTTTGAGCAGCGATCTGTCGCAGCTCGGGAGGGAGTGTGAGCGAATGATGGAGTGCGGTGCTGATTATCTGCACCTTGACGTTATGGATGGGTGAGGAATAAAGTTTGCTAATTTTCGTACCCAATGTTGACCTGCAGGCACTGAGAGCGATCATGACCAGAGAACCAATACCATATTACATTCTAAAGTAATTTTAATGAGCAAGAACATTTAGTTATCCCACATTTTGGCACGGGAATGATACAGCATGAATTCACCCTCGTTGCAAAAAAAAAAGTATGCCACATTAAGTTACAAGAAGTCATACACAGCTTGGCATTGCAGTGAGACAATTATCTTATTTCCTTGTCAATTTTTTTTACACAAAGTTAGGGGCTTACTGGATCTGCACCCAAATTATTGTA